TGATACTTTGATATTTATTCTACCTTCTTAGCCAAAATTGTGCTCTTTTTTTTTTACTGTTCCTTTTTGCAAATCCACAAACAGATGGGTGTGCAAAGCTTTATTTCTGTGAACACATGCTTTTGTACACGTAGGACCAGATAAGCACACACAGTGACACATGTGTAATACACACCCTATTCAGTTCTACCACCACTCCCAGCCTTTAGCATTCCTGTCCCTGCCTGGTCCATGCACGGTAAACAGAGGTGGGGCATTGTCCAAGGAGCCTCGACCCGTCTGTTGCCTGGTGCCACTCTCCCACCTTGTTACCTTAACCTTGATGTGCTTACACTGCGCGTGTCTCTATACACCCCTCCTCCTGGGACAGTGTACCCTTGGGGACAGAATGCTCTGGGCATAGGATCAGGAATAAGGATTATTTGGAGTGCAAATTCGGTACCACTTTCCCCACTCCATGGTTTCGTCACCTCTGGAGGGGCTCTCTATGCCTGATGGTGTTGGTTGGCAGTTCTAGAGCTTGTCACCCATCTCCAGGGCTCTGCTTCCTCCTGCTGCCAGTAGGCTCAGGTGCCCTTGTGCCCCTGGTCTCCTCCTCCACCTGCCTACCGTCTCTTCTCTTCACCCTAATTAGACCTGCCCCAACCTGCTGCTCCCTGCCTGGCTCCTACCTGCCTGCCAGTACCTGCCTCTCACAGGCCAGGCCCTCACCACCTATGGTGCCCTACCAGAAAGGGCAGATGGGTACCACCCCCAGTTCCAATGCCAATCCACCGGAGGCCTTCCCATCCCTTCCTACAGAAGCAAGATAAAGACCACATATTCCAGTGAGTATGGCAACAGAGCACACAATCGAGATCGAGAGTGATGGACACCCAATCAGCAATTTTTGTAGGCCTCACCTGAACACAGGTAGGTGAGTCAAGGTTCAGCCTGGTTCTTTGCAATGATACCAAGAGTCCTCGTAAGTCTCGAGCCAGGAACCCCCTCTCCATTGGTAAATTACTCCCTCACCCTTGTCCTTAATGTCTGCGTCTGCTCTGAACCCAATGCCGGCCAGCCCTTACTGTTTCCCTCGCGGTCAGCCCCAAGTTGAAGCCTGGCGCGGCTCAGGGGGCGGGTCCATTTAGGGTAGGGGAGGGGGACTGGGCGGGGACTGGAAGAGGGGGCGCGGTCTCCGTTCTGCCACCTTCCTCCGGGCCGGGAGCGCAGCCGCCGCCGCCGCCGCCGCCGCCGCCGCCGCTGCCGCCGCCGCTGCGTCCTCTCAGCCTTGCGCTCCGCCCGCTGCCTCTGCCGCCGCAGCCCGGCCCAGGAGTGCAGAGCCTTGGGCACCGGCCCCGCAGCCTAACCACCCTTCGGGCCGCGTGCGCTGCAGCCGGCATGGGGGGCCACTAAGAGCGGGCACTCCTTCCCTCTGGCACCTCCCCCGGTCCCTGGCCACTGGACTCCGGCCAGCGCACCTCGAGCACCTCTGGCCCCCAGTCCGGCGCCTGGCACGACCCTCCGCTCTGACCCTCCAGCTCTGAGCACCGTGTCCCCACCCCCCCGCCTGAGGGGGGGGGGGGGGGCAAGAAGCCGCTGGAGAAATTTCTGAAGAAGCAGACGTCGCAGCTGGCGGGGCGAACGGTGGCTGGAGGTCCCGGCGGGGGTCCGGGGAGCTGCGGCGGGCCTGGAGGGGGTGGGGGACCTGGCGGGGGCGGCGGTCTAGCCGGGGGACCGCGGCCGCTGCAGCGGCGTCAGAGCGTGTCTCGTCTGCTGCTCCCAGCTTTCCTCCGGGAGCCCCTCGCCGAGCCGGGTCTGGAGGCGCCCCCAGAGGAAGACGGAGGAGAGCCGGCGGGGGTCGCGGAGGATCTCGGCAGCGGGGGGCCCTGTTGGCTGCAGCTGGAGGAGGTGCCGGGGCCGGGGCCTCTCGGGGGAGGGGGTCCCCTGCGCTCCCCTTCCTCATACTCCTCAGACGAGCTATCCCCGGGAGAGCCTCTGACTTCCCCACCCTGGGCCCCCCTGGGCGCCCCCGAGCGGCCGGAGCATCTTCTGAACCGGGTTCTGGAGCGGCTGGCCGGAGGGGCCACCAGGGACAGCGCCGCCTCAGGTAAGGGGTGGCTGGCTCATCCATCCCGGAGTAGTGGGTTGCCACCTGGTTCCTCTTCCTTTGCCCTTGGACGATGGGTGGGGGTTGCCCTATGCCGAGCCTCGGCGTCGGGGGGCGGGAGGGTTGAGTGGTCAGCTGGGGGCCTATGGGAGGAACAGACCTTTCTGCAGCAGAGAAGTGGCAGTGCCACCTTCCTCCCTGTAGCAGCCTCACCCACGGCTGCAGAAGCTGAACCCCCTTCTCTCCTTAAGCCACCCTTCCTCTCACCTGGACATTTCATCTAGACCCTCATGGGTCCCTGATGCTGACTACCTCCTTCTGTGGCCCAAAATTAAGGCCTGACACACTAAGATGGAAGCTGCCCAGACCAGTCAGTGCAGCCCCCTAGAGGTGGCCAAGCCCCACAAGACCTTCCAGGAGTCCCTGATTCCGTTTAGAAGCCCCAGAGCAGAGGGCTGGCCCCCTCAGTGGGGCAGTGCCAGACAGGCACACGGCCCAAGCTGCCTTTTAGGCTCCGGCAAAGGGATGCATTGTCCTTAGCAGCTTGGGAGGAGGGAGGTATTCTAGTTGGGGGCTGACTCAGAAGATATTTGTTGGGGGAGAGGCAGCTGGGCAGACATCAGGGCCCTGCAGCATCCCGGGGGGTCTGAACCTCTCCGACTCCCACCCTTCCGGTGGCAGGCCTCAGCACATGGCCTCTTTAAAAAATAACCGCACCCTGAGAGGCTTATTCCCTGAATGATGATGCTATTTTGCCACTCCCCACCAGCACCCCTACTAAGGGGATTCTGAGGAAACTGAGGCCTCAGATTGCTGGTTAGTGGCTGAGGTAGAAGACGGAAGGGTCCTCAGGGCTAGCTCTCGGCATTTCACTAAGCCCAGCAGGGTCTGAGGATTGGGAGCCCTGGTTGAGGGCCTAAAGATGGGGTTTCATGCTTTGCTCCCAGACCTTTGCAGGGAGTCCTAACCCAGGTGTGTGGAATGGGGCTCCACTTCCCTAGATTTTTCTCAGCACCCAGGTACTCTCCTTGGCTCAGGTTGTAGCTGCCCTGGGGAGCTGACACCTTTTGGATTTAATTAGAAAAATATCAGACACACACAGCTCTCTTAACCATAACTTCCCGCCTACACCACACACCCTATGTCTCTATGACACATTCCCTGGGGAGGCTGTACATTGGACCAGAGCCTGCCTTGGAAGAGACAGACGCCAAACTGTAGCCCCCATAGCAGCATCTCCCCCACTCTGCCCCCACGTTCCTCTTCCTTTGCTCTGTTTAGCTCTCCTGTGAGATAAAGAGTAGAGGAAAGATTTTGGGCATCCCTATTCCTCGTCCCCATACCTGGAGCTGAGGGTCAGGGCTGGGGGGCTCAGACTCACTTTAAAAACTGGGCAGAGAGGAAAAGGGAGAAACCGTCTTTCCCCTTCCGCAGGGGCAGGGGCCTGGTGCCACAGGTGCTGCTCAGTCTTCCCTGGGGAAGGACTCTTGAACTGATTGTCACCGTATTATCTGGACTGGCAGGCTGGATCCCCAGAGTAATTGCTTTGGGGAACCCCAAACCAGTCCCAGAGTGAATGAGAATCAGCTTAACCTGCCACTCTGATATTCTCCCATATAAGCAATGTTCTTAAGCCATCTCGGTTCCCTCCCAGGGCGTGTGGGAGGAGGGGCCTTACAGAAGGTACCCCAAACTAACCAAAGGCTCTCAAACGTCTAAGCAGCCCCACCTGCCCACTGTACTCTGACGCTCTGCTCGCCTCAGGCATGGTGAGAAAAGAACAAAGACTCAGGAGTCTGGGTTCTTACTCCAGCTCCAGGCAAGTCCCTCCCAGCTCTGGGCCTCAGTTTCTCATGTGTGAAATGAAATGGTTGAGGTAGAGGATCTTGTGTTGATTCTCCTGCTCCAGCTTCATGGCTGGAATTGGAGGCCAGGGGATGGTGACCTGGGGGCCATCAGAAGCCTTGGTTTTGCCCTGGGGCAGTACCTGGGGACCTGGCCCTAACCTGTCCTGGTGAGGACACCTGGCTCCCTCCCCAAACCCTGCTTGTCTGTGTGTGCCAGGCTGCCCTGCCCCACCCCAGGGCTGGCTGCAAGTCAGGGCGACCTTGTACCTGGCTGACTGGCTGAGCCAGGCCCAGATGGGGGTGTGGAGGGGGAAAGGGTGGTGTGAGGAACCACTCCCCTCCACCCTTCCATCATTAACTCTTCCATCCCTGGGCATCCGGAGGACACAGGCTTTCTATTTAAAGGCTTTGGGATCAAAGAGATGGCAGTTGCTCCCTCTCCCTTTGAATGGGGCTGGTTCTCACCTGCCTAGTTGGAACTCAAATTTGTTAGGTAGAGAGTGAAGAGGGGCGGAGGGAAACACACACACACACACACACACACACACACACACACACACACACACACACACACACACACACACACACACACACACACACACACACACACACACACACACACACACACACACACACACACACACACACACACACGCTGACCCTAACCTCTGTGCTTAAAAGTTCTCTTTGTCTAGAGACTCCTCTGGAGGCTACCTCTTCCTCTTTTTTTCAGGCAGATCTCAAGCTTGGTGTATTAACTGACCAGCTTCCCACACACATTGGAGAGAAGTGGGCGTGGCCATGCAAGCGCGCCCCCTCCTTCTCTCCAGCCGCCTTGGCAGCTGCCAACCCCACCCCCGCAGCGGCTGCCCAGAACCTTCACATGTGTGTGTGTGCGCGTGTGTGTGTGCAGAGCGTGACTGGACAGGTGGCTGGGGCTCCAGCCTGGCTAAAGAGAATTTGCCCTCGGAGGCAAGAGAGGGGGTGGTGAGTGTCAAATTGGGTCCTGGAAGTGCCCTCCAGACATCAGTGGTGGCAATTGCTCTCTACAGATATCCTGCTGGATGACATCGTCCTCACCCATTCTCTCTTCCTTCCCACGGAGAAGTTTCTGCAGGAGCTACACCAGTAATATCCTTTTGGGGAGCTTGCAAAAGGGGAGGTCAGGAGGGAGCCACCCCCCTCACCCCACATGTGATGTGAGGGTCTAAGCTCTTCCCTAGAAAACACACCTGGGTTTCAATTCCAGGTTTTTCACTCACCAGCTGTGTGACCTTGGGCAGCTCACCTAACCTCCTGGGGCCTCAGTTTCCTCTTCTGTAAAACGGGGGTAAATAGCACCTGCCCTGCCTCTCTATGGGGCTGCTGTGGAGACCATTCTGACAGCAGATGTGGGAGTGCTCTGGAGACTGCAGAGCCCTGTATACATGTAAGGTGTTATTACTCTATTAAGAGTGCCTCTCTCCCCACTGAATTATTGCTCTAAACATCTGGCTGCCCAGTGAGTTATTACAGGGTCTGATGTAAACATCAGGTCGTGGCTGTGCTTCAGCAGGGTCTACTAGAGACAAGCCACTGGCTGGGCTATTCACAGGGCCTCTCACCAAGTTATTCTAGGACCTAACTATAAACGTCAGGCCAGTGAGTAGAATATCATAGGCTGTCTTAGAAACACCAGGCCCTACACTGAAGTGTGGTCAGGCTTGTAGTTAGCACCATTGGCCTTTATCAGCCTGCTGTAAGCTCCAGGCTGTGGGCTGATCAGGGGTTGGGTGGGTCCAGGCAGAGTAGCTTCTAGTGAATTTTCTCAGGTGAAATTCAAACAGGCAGGGGCAGGAGCTGGATGTGGTCAAGTGGGTGCCATCCCTACCTACTCTGGCAAAAACCTGGGCTGGGGCATGAGGTGGTCTTGGTTCCAAGAGCCCTTGGACCCCCTTTCTCCATGGCCCCAAACCTAGAGAATTTTTAGGGGTAGCCTTGCCTCCCATTGCCTCCCATACCCCTTCCCCGTGTCCACAGGTCTGCCTGCCCAGGGCTTTTTCTTAACTTAGGGGTCAGCTTTGTTTGGGCAGGAGGCATGGAGGGCCCTGAGGGGCTTGGCCGGAAGCAGGCCTGTCTAGCCATGCTCCTTCATTTCTTGGACACCTACCAGGGGCTGCTGCAGGAGGAAGAGGGGGCTGGCCGCATCATCAAGGTGGGCCTGGGATGAGAAGGTGGGTGAGCAGGCTGTTTGCTCTGGAAGGGGGCCCCTTTGAAGGAACCATTCTCAAGCTGGGCACCTGGAAGGAAATGATGCCAGTGAGCCTTAGCATGTACGGTTCTTCTGTGCTCGAAGGCATGGAGACCCTGCCCCGCCCTTGCAGAGAGTGATGCTTGAGACCCCTGCCCTCACCTTCTCTCTCCTCATCTCTGCAGGATCTGTACCTGCTGATTATGAAGGATGAGTCCCTTTACCAGGACCTGCGAGAGGACACACTGAGGCTGCACCAGCTTGTGGAAACAGTGGAGCTAAAGTGAGGGGAATAGGCTGGGGGAGGGGACAGGAAAGAAATCCCCCTTGTTCCTCTATTACAGGGCTGGGTGCCTGTGGCCTTTGGGCTCCAAGATGCTTTTATTTTCATTCCCTTTCTCTTACTGGAGAGTAGCACAAAGCACTGTCTCCAGTCATTTTTGGGGTCCATTCTCCCATCCATTTATTTGTCAATCCAATGGTGTACTGATAAATATTGAACAATCAGCACTTCAGGAAAAAGAGCCCTGGTTTATAGCTTTTGCTGATTCTCATGGTGTAAATTCTCTCACTGTGGTTGATTCCAAGCTACCAGTATGACATCACTGAATGTGAAGTTGGAAAGAGATGTGCAGTAGCAGGCCATTAGGTACTATCTTCACCATATAAATCCAACAGATGTAACTTAAGCTGAAAAGCATAGATAAGAGTAAAAGGTAGTGAAACAATTAGGAAACTACTTTTTGGGTAATAATTTGGCTGTAAGTTTATAAAACATATATATAAATATATATATGTTTATATATAATTATATATTTTATATATATGTAAGTTTACATGTATAATTAATTTTTGAATGGCTATGTTTAAAACCAGTTGGCAGAACTCCCCAAAATTTAACAATCTGCTTTCATGAACCAATGTGAGCTGGCTTCAGGACACTACTGCATCCATCCCTCCATCTTTTCAGCCCTTTCAGTTTCTCTCTGCTCCATCCCACCATCATAACCCTCATTTAGGTGTCATTATCTCTCACCTGGATTATCTCCACAGCCTCCCATCCAGGGCTTCAGCTTATGGTTTTGTGTCTTTCTTATGCTGACCCCAGAGAGATCTTTCAAACTTGACAACGTTGTGCTTCTGTTCCAAGAATATCCACGGCCCCCCATTGCCTACAAGATAAAGTTGCAACACCCTAGACTCTCTCTTTCTGCCATCTGGTCATTCTTCCCATCTCATCTCCCACATCCCCCTTCACCCGTGACACTCCCTATACACCCCACCATTCCACGAACACCTTTGTGTTCCCAACTTCCTGCTGTCACTTATGTGGTTCACCCCAGCGTGCCCTCCTCCCACTCCCTTCTCTTCCTGTTGTCCTTCAAGGTCCAGGTCAAATGCCATCCTCCCAGCGAAGGCATCTTTTAGCAGTAGCTGTCCTTCCCCCATACCAACGTAACTCTTCTCGTACCTTTATTATATCACCAAACACCTCCTGCCTCGTGTTAGATGTAGCTGTATGCACGTCTGTCTCCCTCCCAGACTGTGAAGTTCTTTTTTTGTTTTTTAATTTATTTTATTTTTGGCTGCGTTGGATCTTCTTTGCTGCACACGGGCTTTCTCTAGTTGCAGCGAGCGGGGGCTGCTCTTAGTTGCGGTGCGCGGGCCTCTCATTGCAGTGGCTTCTCTTGTTGCGGAGCGTAGGCTCTAGGCGCGCGGGCTTCAGTAGTTGTGGCACACGGGCTCAGTTGTTGTGGCTCGTAGGCTCTAGAGCGCAGCCTCAGTAGTTGTGGAGCACAGGCTTAGTTGCTCTGTGGCATGTGAAATCTTCACGGACCAGGGCTTGAACCGTGTCCCCTGCACTGGCAGGGGGGGGCGTTAACACTGTGCCACCAGGGAAGGCCACAAATGTCCTTTAGACTACTCTTCGTTGCAGTGCATGGGCTTCTCGTTGCGGTGGCTTCTCTTGTTGCGGAGCGTAGGCTCTAGGCGCGCGGGCTTCAGTAGTTGTGGCACACGGGCTCAGTTGTTGTGGCTCGTAGGCTCTAGAGCGCAGCCTCAGTAGTTGTGGAGCACAGGCTTAGTTGCTCTGTGGCATGTGAAATCTTCACGGACCAGGGCTTGAACCGTGTCCCCTGCACTGGCAGGCGGATTCTTAACCACTGCACCACCGGGGAAGTCCCCCAGACTGTGAAGTTCTTGTTGGCAAAGTTCAGCAAACAGCTGATGACCTACACCTACCATGTGCCAGGCAGTGTGCTAGACCTGTAGGATGAAAATAAAATTCAGTCCGCTCTCAATCTTGTAAAAGAGATAAGACATGAAATGAACATAAACAAATATTAGCCCAATGTCCTACAGCTATTAAGACAAAATGGTGACCTCTCCTGGTGGGTGGGATGGATAGAGAATTCACGGAAGAGGTGGCATTTGATTTGGGTCAGACGGTTGTCCCATGCTGGCCACTGTCCTCTCTTCTTACCCCCTTCACCACTCTCTGAACCTGATGCCGGGGCATCCTTGACCAGTTCTGATATCCCTGATTGATGTTGCCTGCCTTGCATGCAGTATGCCTGGCAGGGCTTCCTGATGCCCAGCTGTGTCCACACCAGGATCCCGGACGAGAGCCAGCTGCCCAGCAAGCAGGTGAAGCCACTCTTCCGCCACTTCCGTCGGATAGACTCCTGTCTGCAGACCCGCGTGGCCTTCCGGGGTTCCGATGAGAGTGAGTGCGGACCGTAGGAGGGGCAGGGCTTCCTTAGTGGCTCCGGGGGCCCTGAGGGGTCTCCGGATCTCGGGCACCCTCTGTGGAGTCTCCCTGTGTCATAGAACCAGTCCTTTTCACAGCATATTTTTCAGAGGCCAACCAGTTTCAGGTTGGGGTGGGGTGGGGAACAGAGGTGCCCAGGAGGGAAATATGCTGATGCTGCCGTTCTGCCCACTGGTGAAAAGCCACCTCCTGGTCTCTATCCAGTCTTCTGCCGGGTCTATATGCCTGACCACTCCTACGTGACCATACGCAGCCGCCTCTCAGCATCTGTGCAGGACATTCTGGGCTCTGTGACGGAGAAATTGCAGTACTCAGAGGAGCCTGCGGAGCGTGAGGATTCCCTCATCCTGGTAGCTGTGGCCTCCTCAGGAGGTGAGGGTCAGAAGGAGCTGGGCTGGGGAGGGGGTGGGGGGGCACAAGAAAAGAAACTCACAAGCCCAGTGCCTTGGGGCAGGAGTAAAGACTGAATTCTAGGCCCTGGCTGCTACTCCAAGTGCGGTCCTGGGACCAGACACATGAGCATCACCTGGGAGCTTGTTAAAAATGCAGTATCTCAGACCCCACTCCAGACCTGCAGAATCAGAATGTGCGTTTTAACAAGATCCCCGGGTGATTCCTATGCACATTAAAGTCGGGGAGGCAGTGGTCCAGGACACTTGCATGCTGCTCTGGGTGCTTGCCTCTCACATTGGGATCTTGTCCTTTAACTTCCACGAGCATCTAAGGATGCTACGTTTTTGAGGCCAAAGACACAGGGTGGGCCTCCAATCCCAGTAGGAAGGCAAAACCCTTGCAATGTAGTCATAGCCTTATTTTCCTCTAATTCAGAAAAAAAAAAATTCCTGCTTTCCCAGTGTCACAGGGATGATAGACTAAGAGAAGAGCTATAAAGAAGGTTGGGAGCCAAAAGGAGGTTATAAATGCAAGAGAACTCATTTTTTGAAAAATGTCAGATAAATATGGCATAAACTGGTGATGATATGAGTCCTGTTAGTCTAGAACATGTCTGGGTGGGATTAGGAGTTTCTGGAGGGGACAGCGGTGGTGGCTGGGGTGTGTGAGGGTACAGGGGCCAGGGCTGAGGCAGGGCAGCTCGTTCTCCTGCAGAGAAGGTCCTTCTCCAGCCGACCGAAGACTGTGTCTTCACCACGCTGGGCATCAACAGCCACCTGTTTGCCTGTACCCGAGACAGCTATGAGGCCCTGGTAAGAACTCCTTCACAAGCCTTGGCTGAGAGGGAAGGCTGAGAGGGGCTGGGAGCAGAAATTCAGAAGCCCAGCCCATGTCCCTGCCTGCCACCAGGTGCCCCTCCCCGAGGAGATCCAGGTCTCCCCTGGAGACACAGAGATCCACCGAGGGGAGCCTGAGGACGTCGCCAACCACCTTACTGCCTTTCACTGGGAGTTGTTCCGCTGTGTGCATGAGGTGGGGATTGAGGCTGGAGCTGGGCTGGGGGCCTGGAGGGAGGCAGCGTCTGGGCTGAAAGTTCTGGTTAGGACGCTCCCTTGCAGCAAGCCCTGGGGCAGTGTGCCGCCAGAACCTCTCTAAGCCTTTGTTCCCTTTATCTTAAAAAAAAAAAAAAAAGGAAGCAAGCCGTGGCTTGGCTTATTATTGCCAGTTGCCTTCCTAGGGACTACCTAGCCCTTGGACCTAATATCCCCAGCACATACCACTTACTGGCCCTTATCTGCATCCCCTGCCTCCCTTCTGGTTCTGCTTGCTCATCTGACGAACCCGGCTGATTGCCTTACAGAGCTAACACCCCTGATTTCTTCCCCTCCTCCACCACCAAACCCTCCCAACCTATTCCATGGCACTAGAGTAATCAAATATAACTGAGCCTGTTCTGAAATGAAAGTCCTAGTAATATATTTTGTTAATTATTAGGTTATTTTTTCTATTTAGCAACCTTAATTAAACTTTATATCATCTCATAGAATAAACATCATTAAATGTCAAGTATTTTCTACTGAAAAATAATTACTTCAGTTTCAGCATAACTTTTTTCAGCAAAACTCAAATACTATCTTTGTTTCATGTAATTTGGCAACACTCAAAGTTTGTATAGCAACCCCGCCTTACCCGCCCCCCTCCCTGGGTGGTTCAGGATCCAATTGCTGCTTACACAGAACCTGACCCACGGTTAGAATTCGTAAAATATTTACTATTAAAGAAAATAAGGCGAGGACAATAATGTCGATCAGATGGTTCAAGAGCCTGGCACCGGGTAAGTGTTCAGTAGATGGTAGAGCATTATTAATGTTGGTTGTCTTTTCTCCCCCCTCTCTGTTGCATCCTGTCCTGTCCCGGTTTTCTTCTATTTTCCACCCCTCCCGCCCCCGTCCTCCTGCCTTACCCTGCTCACCGCCTCGCATTGCCCTCTTCCCACCCGCACTCCCCACGCCCTGGCGTCCCCTCCTGCCACCGCGGGTGTAGCTGGAGTTCGTGGACTACGTGTTCCACGGGGAGCGCGGCCGCCGGGAAACGGCCAACCTGGAGCTGCTGCTGCAGCGCTGCAGCGAGGTCACGCACTGGGTGGCCACCGAGGTGCTGCTCTGCGAGGCCCCGGGCAAGCGCGCGCAGCTGCTCAAGAAGTTCATCAAGATCGCGGCCATGTGAGTGCGGCGGCCGCGGAGGGGGGAGGCCACGGCCAGCCGCCCCCCCGCTGACCCCGCCTCCCGCCCCCGCAGCTGCAAGCAGAACCAGGACCTGCTGTCCTTCTACGCCGTGGTCATGGGGCTGGACAACGCCGCGGTCAGCCGCCTGAGGCTCACCTGGGAGGTGATGAGACCTCTTCCCTTTCTTCTCCTCCCACCTGTGCTGGCCCACCTCGGGGGTCTTGGCCTCCACCCTCAGCCTTGACATCCCGGGCTCACTCCAAAGCGGCCTCCCGGGACCGCTGCTCGCCTCTGGGGAGCTTTTGTGCCGGTTGGAAGGAGGCGCCCTCTTCTGGCAAATACAGCCCCGGGGCACACAGCAGGGCTGAGGGACCCGGTCCCAGGGCAGATTAGTAGAGGCGGATTCCCCTGGGGGTGGGGGTGGGGTGGGAGGGGGCAGTCCCGGCCAGGTCGCAGCCTTAGCTCTTGGCTTTCAGACAGCACCCAGTGAGGCCTTTTTTTTTTTTTTTTTTTTTT